GTCATGATCCCAGGGTCCTGGGATCGAGCCCCACATCCCATGCTGAGCAAAGAGCCTGCTTCTCCTTCTCCCTCTGCCTGCTGCTTCCCGATTGTACAATCTCTCTCTGTCAAAAATAAATAAAATTAAAAAAAACTATTAAAGACAAGAAAATAAACCATAATGAAAATATTGCACTATAAAAAAAAAACCCTTATTGAGGGAATAAAATAAAACATAGGGAAAGACACACCATTGAAATTAGAATCAATGACCCATTAAGCAGTAGACTAGACCCAGCTGATAAGAGAATTAGTGAATTGGAAGATAGAGCTGGTGAAATCATTCAAAATGTGGAGAGGGGAAAGTGATGAGATATGAAATATGAAAGAATAGTTTAAAGACACTAGTGAAAGCATAAGACAGCATTAGCAACAAAAGATTACAGAAAAAAAATAGAATATCTTCCAGAGGCCAAGAGAAAACTGTCAACCTAAAATTCTATGCCCATTAAATTTCTATTTAAATTATATGAAATAAGGACATTTGAGAATGTTCACCAAAGACTTTCACTGAAATGCTGCTAAAAGATATACTTCATAAAAAGGGAACAAATAAGAAGCAAGGAGTGAAATGCAGGCAGGAATGGTGAGCAGAGAAATTTAGAAATATGTTAGTGAATCTAAATGAGCACTGAAAGCCACTGTTAGTGCAACATAAATTGGTCCAACTGCTTTGTAGAGCAATTTGGCAATAATCAGTAAAGTTTAAGATGCACATATACAATGACCCAGAAATTCTACTTCTCGGTATCTACCTTAGAGAAGTGCTTACATACATACCCAAGACACATGCACAGCACTAACCACTAAAGCATTGTTTTCTTTTTATTTATTTATTTATTTATTTATTTATTTATTTATTTAGTTAGTTAGTTAGTTAGTTAGTTAGTTAGTTGTTTATTTGAGAGAGAGAGCGCACCGACAAGTGGGGCGAGGGGAGGGGCAGAGGGAGAAGGAGAGAAGCAGACTCCCCACTGAGCACCAAGTGGGAGCCCATACAGGCCAATCTCCAGAAACTCTGAGATCAAGACCTGAGCTGAAATCAAGAGTCAGACGCTTAACCAACTGAGCCACCCAGGCACCTCTAAGGCATTGTTTTCTAACACGGAAAACTGGAAACAGCCTAAATGCCTATTAGCAGAAGAATGGGTAAGTAAATTGTGGTGTATTCAAATACTGAAATAATATTCAGCAGTTAAAATTCATTAATTGGAGCTAAATGAAACATGGATAAATGTTAAAAAAATATTGAGAGAAGAAGAAAGTTTGCAGAATTTTTATTTATTTTTAAGTTATCTCTATGCCCAGTGTGGGGCTCAAACTCAGGACCCAGAGATCAAGGGTCATATGCTCTACCAACTGAGACAAACAGGAGCCCCCAGATAGATTTTTTTTAAATACACAAGTCAATATTTTGTTGTTTGTGGATACAAACGTATGAAGTAAAACTGCAAAACCATAAATAGAAGGGCTATCTCTGAATCAAATGTGGCAAAAGTGAACAGTTGTTGGATTTCAGTGGTGAGTACATGGATATTTGTTGTTATATTCTGTACTGTGCTTTTCTGCATATTTGAAATATTCACTTTTTCTTTTCTTTTTAATGGGCCTTTAGAAATAAAGGTAAAGGGGGATAGATGGGCTGCATCAATCCTCAGAGAGGATGATCTGTTGGGATGGGATTAAGGGGAGGCTGAGTCCAGAGTTCAGGGATTACAAGGATTAACTCAGATCATCCCCCTAAGCTGATTACCTGGCTGGCATCCCCACCACTCCTGGCCCTTCAGATATGCATCCCTGGACAACAGTTCACTTCCCCCCATGCCTGCTAAGCCCTTACCTCCTGCCTCCTAACTTCACCTCCACCCTCAACCCAGTACTGATCTGGCCAGGATTTGCCCAAATTTGAGTCCTGAAAATAGACTGGTTCAGGTCTCTCCTGAATGCTCCCCAAATCAAGGGAGAGTGGTGACCTGCACCCCAGGAGCCAAGGAGAGATTAGTCCTAATACTCAGGATCAGAACTCCCTGAGGAGAGCCTGGATCACTGGAGGTCACAGTTGACAACTTCCTCTCCTACCCCTCCCTCCATGAACCAAAAAGTCAGCAGTCAAGGTCAACTGTTAACAACGGAACTTGCTGGCTGAGCCAGGACTAGCAGGAGCTGTGGTTGGGCAGAGCAAACAGCCATTGGGCTTCCAACCTTCCAGCATGTCAGTCTCCAGAGCTCTATGCCCCCATCTTGACACCTTGCCACCCCCATGCCAGCCATGTCTGGACAGGCCTGATATCTGCAGCAGACTCTCTGAATGGGGTCTTCGTGGGCTTGTTCAACGGCATTTCCCCACAGCTGGATCACCTTGACCACAGGATCTGAAGTGTAATCCTGTTCTCTGGGGAGCAAATGAAACCTCCTTGATCTGTGCCCCTCATCTCTCAGAGCACCAGGGTCAGGGTTTGAGAGGGAGAAAAAAAAAGGAGGGAGGGGGGAGGGAAAGACTCATAGGGCAACATTATACTTAATAGGCAACATTTAACTCTATGTGAAATCATCTACTGAATGATAAGACAGCATTAACTGTGTAGTTGAGAGATTTACCTTTCTCATTTATTGTGTCAGATAACTTTGTCAGATGCTGGAGATACAAAAATGACTAAGGTACTTCCCAATCTTCTGGAAGTTGGGCAGACACAAGAGTAAAAACCTGACCTTGACACCTGAAAGTGACAGGCGCTGCCCTAGAGGGAAGGAGGAAGGGTGGAGCACAGGAGGCTTCTACTGGTCTAGGGGTGGGCATCAGGGAAGTCTGCTGGATGTGACTTCCGACTGAGGGTTGAAGAATAAGTAGGGATGTCCAGGCAAAGAAGGGCCTCTTTCCTGAAGAATATGGAGGGCTTGTGAACCTGGAAGCCTCTGGGGGTGAACACAGTGTATGTCCATAACCTGGTGAGTGGATATGCAAGAAAAGGGATTGGTGTGTGCCCCTGGCTCAAGAATCTCCTAACACTTTTCTGGGTGTGTTGGGACTGCCTGGTTCCCAAGCGTACCCACTTCTTTCCTGGCTGAGACCTGGAGAGATGTGAGAACAATTGCCTCCTCAAGATCCGGCACCCGGTGGTAGATGTTCCTTCAATGAATAAGTGAAATAAGCCCTCTGGGTTTCCACATCTCCCTCATGTGAGAGTGAAAATCAGTAGTGCCCACCCCGAACAGGCTACCGAGGCACGGTGGGTAGTGGTCGTGGCTCGAAGCTCAGAGGGTGTGGGGCCAGGTGGGAAGGCAGAGTGGTGGAGAGAAGCGGTCTTCAGGCAGCGAGGGCTGCGTGGGGCCAAGGAGCGGCCCTCCTGAGAGGGTCTCTGGTTCTGGCTTGGTGGGGGCGCGAGGAAAGCAGAGAGATCAGGGCCCTGCAGTTCACGTATCTCCGCCTTGGCTTTCCTCTTCCTGCCTTCACGCAGTCCTGGGACGCAAGAGGCCACCGCGCAGGAATGCGGCCGGCGGCCGGGGGTCCGCGCTGCCTGCGGAGGTGGGGGACTCGGGCCCTGCTCGGTGGGCGCGTGTCTGCGCGTTTGGAGGAAACAGGACCGGAGGATTCGTCCAGCTTTGTCCCCTTTGTCCCCCATCGCTGCGCGGGACAGGGCGCTAACACATGGCCCCGGGGGTCCCCCCGCTCAGCCCACTCTGGGCAGGACCCTTCGCCAGAACCAGCGGATCTTGTGGCCACTCCTGGGGCAACCTCAAGCCCCGAGTGGCTCCCGTCCTCTCCCCCTCTCCCACGCCCGGGTCGTGGGGTGTGTCGGGGGACGCGCTCCCTCGGCCTCTCCGCGCGGGCTCGCCGCCCCCGGGTCCGGGAGCCGGGTGGAGGGAGGGCTTCCGGGCGGGGGCGGTGTCAGGTGGCCGGGCCAGGCCCCGCCCCCTCGGCCCGCCCTCCTTCCCCCTGCGCACCCGGCTCCGGGTCCCCGGCCTGGCGGCTGCGGCGTCTCCTCCAAGCGGCGGCGGCGGCGGCGGCGGCGGCGGGAGCGGCCATGGAGGCGGGCGCCGGGGCCGGCGCGGGCGCCGCGGGCTGGAGCTGCCCGGGCCCAGGTCAGAGCCGCCCCTCCCTCACCTCTCCACCGCCACTCCTTCCTCTTCTCCATCTCTCCTCCCTCCAGACCCCCTCGTTCTCCCTCCCTCCCTCCGCCGCTCCCACCTTTCCGTCCCGTCTTCTTCCCTCCATCCTGCCCCCCACCCCGGGCCCGGACTCCATCTTTCCGGGCTGGGTCTTCCCCACACCGGTCGCATCCTCCCCTGGCCGTCCCTCGCCCCGAACCCTCTCCACCCCGTCTGTCCCTCCCTGGGGGCCCCAGACCCTGCGCCCACTCCGGCTCGAAGGCTTCGAGCGCAGGGCGAGGGTGGGGTGGACGAGGTCCAGGGAGAGAATGGAGGGGAGGGGAGCGGCTCCGGCCCAGAAACCCTTGCCACACGCCCCCTCCCCCTCGAATCACCCCTTTCCCCTTCCACGCACCTCACCCTTTCAGCCTCATCTTCCCTGGCTCCTGCCCTCGCTTCCATCCTTGCCCGTCTCCTCCCTGTCCCCTCCCGGCTAAAGAGACACACACCCTTTCTGTCTGTGCCGGGAGAGGAGCCTGGAGCTGGGGATGCTGAGGAGGTTGGGCAGCACAGGGCGGGGTCCCCGCAGGCCCAGCTCGAGGGGCGGCTGAGGGAGGAGAGTCGCACCCTGGGCAGAGTGAGCCAAGCACTTCCACCGGGATTAAAAACTCCAGGGCTCCAGAGGGCTGGAAGGCACGTCCCTTTCTCTCTCCCGTGCACCCCAGCCCCAGCCCCCAGCCCCCCTAGCAGCCCGCCGTGCCTCCTCTCTCCCTGCTCACAGGACCCACAGTGACCACTTTAGGCTCCTACGAGGCATCTGAGGGTTGTGAAAGGAAGAAAGGCCAACGCTGGGGGTCCCTGGAGCGGCGGGGAATGCAAGCTATGGAGGGTGAGTTTTCCAAAAAAGCTTGCTTTCTCTCCCCTCAGCCAATTTCCCTCCCCTCCTCCTTACCCCCCATCTGGTCCCCAGAACTCCCAGCCAGGACAGAGCCCTTCCTCTAGCTCACCTGAGCCCCCTCTTCCCTTCACGTCTGAGTTCTACCCCTCCTCAGGGCTCAGGCTTTGAGGGAGGTTCTGGGTACATCCCTCTGGGGCCCTGATCACCAGCTAACCAGGTTGTGTGTCCCAGGGGGAGCTGCCAGACAGAGAAAGAGGCCTCGTTGGACAGAGCTTTGAAGCAGCCTTTCAGCAGGGGGTTTGTTCTCACTGCCACCCGACCCAGATCCCAAGCTGTCTCATATTTTTGAAAAGCGGGGAAGTGAGCATTCTCTTTCTGGTGCCACCACCACTAACTTTGAATGTAAGCCTTGTGGCTTTGGTTCTCTAGGACCTCTTATGGCCTGAAAGAATTGCCTGGGAGGGGGCAGGTGAGGCCAACCTTCCAAAACCCACGTATCCCCACCGCACCATGTGACTTGGCAGTTGCTGCCAACACCAGGCCCCTGGAAGGATGCCTGTCTGCTTCCCAGGACTTCCTGTGAAGTGTCCCCAGGTCCCAATGCACACTGTGTGGGCAACCCTGCTCCCCTAAGGGGGACAGAGGACACAAGGGGTCCCAGATGAACCTTAGGCTGCTGTTGTGAGACCAGGGATTCAGAATTGTAAAACAAAGCAAATAATCAGTATCCTGACAAAATGTCACTATTTCAAGGAACTGCATTGCAGCAAAGGAGGGGGTACTCACCAACCAGAGGCTGGGGACCAGTACACCCCAGTTTCTTAATGCATTAAAATGGTAGGCTTTCTTTTACACACAAGTACAACCTGGGACTTGAAACCTGAAAACTGCCCTATGGTCAGCATGGGAGGAGGGGCCTTAAAACACTTGGGGGAGGGGAGAGGCCTCCTGACACTCCGCAGAGAAAAGGAAGGTGGACCTTGCAGAAAATTTCAAAAAGGCTATGTGATAGAATACATTTGAAAGGGCCCCAGTGTTTGTCCGGTAAAACATTTTAGAATCATTTCATTCTGATGTTTTCTTTCTCTAACTGTTGATGGGCAACCCTTTTCATTATGGAGCAGCTAATTTCTCCCAAGCCACCTGGATAACTTTTTAACTTTGGACAAACCCCAAACTGTAACTCTTGCCCCATTTAGCCTAAAGACACACCCAGTGTCTAAATCCTTTCTTGGGTACTTGTCCCCAACGCAGGGACCACCAGGACTGGAAGAAGCAGGTATCTTTGTGCAAGCTCGCATGGCTGACCAGCACCCAGCTGCTCAGTTTGCCCAAAGGCAGTAGTAGGAGGCCACCTGGTACAATCCTGGTCCAGAAAGGGCCTGGGAGGGGGATGGGAGACCTTACCCCTGAGGATGCATCATGGGTGCAGGTCCTGCCCAGGGGCTCCTTGGGGGACACCAGGTGGCACTATTATACCATCCCTGCCCTGGGACCATGAGCTTGAGGGCCCTTGAAGGACTCTGGAAAGGAAGTTGACTCTGAGCCCCTGGGGGATGGGTTTCTCTTCTAGGGGAAGTGTTACTCCCAGCTCTCTATGAGGAGGAAGAGGAAGAGGAGGAAGAAGAGGTGGAAGAAGAGGAAGAGCAAGTGCAGAAAGGTGGCAGCGTGAGCTCCCTGTCTGTCAGCAAGCACCGGGGCCTGAGCCTCACCGAGACAGAGCTGGAAGAGCTGAGGGCTCAGGTGCTCCAGCTGGTGGCAGAGCTGGAGGAGACCCGGGAGCTGGCAGGGCAGCATGAGGATGACTCCCTGGAGCTGCAGGGTGAGTGCCAGGGAGGGGGCCAGAGGGCCTGGGCTCCCTGGATCCCAGGCTCACGCCTGCCCCCCCTCACTGCAGGGCTCCTGGAGGATGAACGGCTGGCCAGCGCCCAGCAGGCAGAGGTGTTCACCAAGCAGATCCAGCAGCTCCAAGGTAATTCCCAACACTGGGACTGGAGGGAAGGTGGCCATCCAAGTACTTTCGTCCTGAGGGTTTGGCTGAAGCATAGCAGACAAATATAAACTAATTCAGTACTTTCTCCTCATTTTCCCCTTACTATTCTCACCCTTTTCTCCTTCTCTTTCCATTCTCTTCTTTACCTAATATCTGTTCTTCTTTGCATCTCTCCCTGGCTCTTCTGCCCTCCCCTGCCCTTTCTTGCCCTCCCATTTCACAACTTCTCTCTCTGGCTGACAGTCTCCCTTTTCTCTCCTCCAGCTTCCTCCCTTCACACCTGTGTCCTTTTCCCTTTGTTCTCCAGGTCAGGGGGGCAGGTAATCAGGGCTGAATACCTATAACCAGACTGCTTTTCCCTGTCCCTACAAGGGCACCAGGGGAAGAGCAATGAGCCAATGAGAAGTGACTGAAGGGGACTCTGCATCTTTAAGGGAAGCAGATGAGAACGCTTCTCTTGCTTCCTAGGACCGATCTTGTGGCCCCAAATCCCTTTCTTCTAACGCCCACATCCCTTTGTCTCTGGAAAGCAGCAAGGCAGGTGTCCCACATTCCACCGCACCACCAAAAAAAGAGGCAGCTTTTGTTACTTCCATGGACTTCCAGAAGGTTTAGGGGAGCTGCCCTAGAAAACAGCAGGGGCTCTCCAGGGAGAACTGAGATCAAACCAAATGGAAAATATAAATGGAGAAAAAAGGAAGGCCGGGAAGCAGGCCTGGAGAGGAAGAAGCAAAGATGGAGGAAGGGGAGGAAAAGAGAAGGGAAGCCTAGGTAGATGCAGGAGAAGTAGAGAATGAATGGGAAGAGGGTGAAGGAGAGAAATGGCTGGAGATGTGTTGTATCTGGGAAAACAGTGTGAGCACTGGTCTCGGATCACCTAGGTTCTTGGGCCCAACTCTGTCACATAACAAGCTTTAGGATCTTCGGCAAGTCACTTTTATCTTTCTGAGACTCAGTTCCTTATCTGTAAAATGGTGCTAATTTATTTGTTTATCATTCATTTATTGAGTGCCCTATATACTCGGAGGACAAGCTATGAACAAGACAGACCAGATCCCTGCCCTAATGAAGAGTACATTCTAATGGGGAGAGGCAGAAAATAAACAACATAAGTCCAGGTGGCAATAAATGCTATGAAGACAATGTAACAATATGATATAGAGAGATGGGGTGAGATGAGAACTTTTTTTGATGGGGCAGTTAGGAAAGTCCTCTTTGAGAAGATGACATTTGAGCTAAGACTTGAATAATGAGAAAGATCTGAGGGAAGAGCATACCAGGCAGAAGGAATAGCAACTGCAAAAGCTCAGAGGCAGGAATGAGCTTCATGTGTTTGCAGAACAAAAGCCATTGCGGCTGGAGCAGAGTGCATGTGGAGGCCCCTGGTAAGAGTGAGTTCTTTTTTTTTTTTTTTTTAGATTTTATTTATTTATTTGACAGAGAGAGACACAGAGAAAGAGGGAACACAAGCAGAGGGAGTGAGAGAAGGAGAAGCAGGCTTACCGCGGAGCAGGGAGCCCGATGTGGGGCTCGATCCCAGGAAGCTGGGATCTGAGCTGAAGGCAGATGCTTAACAACTGAGCCACTTAGGCGCCCCGAGAGAGAGTTCTGAGGGGCAGGCTGAGGCCAGATTACAAAGGGCCTTATAGGCCCGCTGGGAGGTTTGGTTTTTATTCTTAGTAAAAAGAAATGGGAGGGTCTTATAGTGAAGGTGGAGCCCTCAGGACTTCTGATGAATTGGACAGGGTGGAGGGTGGGGGAGGGGTGGGAATAGGAGAGACATGGAAGATAACTTTGCCTTGAGAAACTGGATGGACAGTGCTGTCATTTATTGGGATGGGGAAGACTTGGCAAAGAACAAGTTTGAAGGCTAAGGGAACCATTGGAGACATGTTTTTACATGTTGAGTTTGAAATGACTAATGACATCTAAATAAATTAGTATGTTATAAGGGGGCAATTGGATGTATGAATCTAGAACAAGGGGAGAAATCAAGGCTGGAGATATAAATTTGGGAGTCGTTAGCATATAGATGGCATGTGAATCCCTGAGAGATCACCATGAAATCACAGGGAGAGACAGGAAGAAGAGGAAAAGGCCCAGTCCCAGGGATACCCCAGTATTTAAAGGTCCAGTAGAGGAGATATGAACAAAAGAGACTGAGGTAGGAGGAACAGCAGAAGCCTTTCATGCCCTGGCCGCCAAGAGCAGAAAGTGTTTCGAAGAGATTCAAAAGTTGCTAAATCAAATAAGATGGCCATTGGATTTGGCAAGATGGAGGGCTCTAAGATATTTCGGTGAAGACAGAAGCCTGATTAGATTGGGATTAAAGAGAAAAGGGGAGGTGAAATAGAGAAGGTGAGTACAGATAATTACAGTAGTCATGTTTTGAAGAGAAGCAGAGAAATAAGGGGAAAGGGAATGAAGTCAAGGGAGAGTTTGGGGGGGGCGGGTTTGAGATAGGACTCACTCACTATACTAGATCACGTTTGTATGATGAAGGAAACAATCCAGTAGAGCAGAAAAAGACCTTTGCTTGGAGAAGGGACATACTCCCTTACAAGGAGGAGGGAAGTCAGTAGAGAGGCAGGTAGGCAACTACGTGGGAAAACAAGTTCTGGAGTGACTCCTTACTCACTAGGGTTGTTTCCACTGAGCATGAGCTCTCAAGCAAGCTAGGGACCGCGGTCTGGTGAAGACGCCCAAGCCCCACCCCGCGGGAGGAACTAGAGACCGTCTTAGCGCACGCGCGTTGCCCGTTTCCGCCAAGAGGGGGCGCGCGCGACCTCAGAGGTAGCTGGTGTTGAGAGGCCGTTCCAGCCGCCACAGCCCCGCAGGGGCCGGGACCGGCCGGCGGCGGGGGGGCCCCCAGGGAGACCGCTTGCAGGGGGGCCGACGAGATGGAGGCCATAACCAGTGAGTAAGAACCTACTTCTCTGTCCCACGGCTCAACTGCCGGGACCTCCGCTTCTCCCCGACCGACCCACACCCCCTGTCAGCCGGCGCTAGGTCTTCGGAATCCGGGTCCAGTCCTCCCAACTCCCGGCCAGGGTCCGCCCCGCCCAGTTTTCGGATAAGCCCCTCCCCTCGGGCCTGCAAGCCCCGCCTCTCCATCCTGGGCGTGCCCTGCCCCTTTGTGCTCCAAATCATAAACTTGCTTGGCTGAGGAAGACCTTCCTCCATTCTCCAGCAGATCTGAGAAAGCCATATTTTTAGGGCCAGACCTGAGAGGGGAACCTAAGGGAAATTTGAACCCTGACATCAAGGACATAACCATGTTTGGTTACCATGTGATGAGCCTACATTTGAATTTCAGCAGTGAACTCTAAATACACGTTAGGGGCCAGTACCTACCTGTGAGGCTCTGTAATTCTAAGCTTCCAGACTGAATAGATGAGAATAGTGTGTGTGAATTTTTTTAGTCGGGGAATTTTTGGAAAAACTCAGTGCATCAGTAAAATACTGTAAATTAGTTTTGGTCTTCAACGTAGAAGCACCTAATACTTTTTGTTTGCAGTAGCCCAAGGTGTTGATTTGGTGCCAGAATCTACTTTTCTACTGCACCTTACTACATGGAGTCACTCCATTCCCTTCTTAGGTACTCCTTTTATTCCATAGCCGATGAGGCTATACTTCGCTGATGGGGTAGAGACTAGATTGCCAGTAGTTTCCAGATAAGAAATAAGTCTGCCTTTAACTTTCTGCCTCTAGAACATGATAGATGAGTTCACTTATCCTCTTGACCATCCCAACCTCTGGGCTTTGCAGGTGAGCTGCGGTCTCTACGAGAGGAGATGTCCCTGTTAGAGCGAGAGAAAGAAAGTGAACTTAAGGAAATAGAACAGGAGTTGCACTTGGCCCAGACTGAGATCCAGAATCTGCGGCAAGCAGCAGAGGATTCCGCAACTGAACATGAGAGTGACATAGCATCCCTGCAGGAGGATCTCTGCCGGATGCAGAATGAACTCGATGACATGGAGCGCATCCGGGGAGAGTATGAAATGGAGATCACTTCCCTCCGTGCAGAAATGGAAATGAAGAGCTCTGATCCATCCAATAGTTTAAATCCTTCAGATTACTCTGAGATGCAAGGTATGAGAGGGCAAGCCTTTTTCCTGGTCTGTCAGTAAAGCCAAGCAGAGGGAGTTAGTATCCAAAAAGATGGTGGAAGATGGTCTTAGATCATGAATTGGGAACCTCTAGAAAAAACCTCCAGGTTGAATTCAACACTCTAAGGGAGAAAAACTTATACAGATGTCACATAACCGGTCAGTGGTGGTATAAGAAATAGCACTGTGGAGATGTACCCTGAGAATTCTTCCTCAGAGAGCCATTGATTTGTTGATTTGACTATGGGAAAGCCCTTCCTAAGAAAGTCTCCAGTGCCAGGATGGGAGGATAAGGGGCTGGTCACCTTGGGAAACTACCTGCTGCTCTGGCATGGCAGTTTGCCTGGCCTGCATTATGGGGGGGCCTCCAGTCCTGTTCGCAGGTCCCAGGATGCTAATGCTTAGGCTCCTTGAGTCCTCTCCAACGTAGAAGCTTTAGGGGGCAACAAATCAGAGCACAAGACAGCTGGAGAGGAAGAGAGGTTATTTCCAGTAATACATGAGGTACTAAAAAGCTTAGAGCTCTGCTTTCAGACAATGAGTCTCCCAGCTAGTTGCTAGGATTCATGACATCAGAGAGTATGCCTTTATTTTGAGGCTAGATTTATGATCTGGGTATAATGGGAGGCCCTGTATTAGGCCAGGCCAAGCAGAGGCAATCAACAAGGAGTCAAAGAACTGCAAGTTTTCCCAGCTGTAACAAGCTTCTCAGAAGAGCCTCTGGACTGGTGGTGCCAGGAGAGTGAGGCCAGCACAGTGGGAAAGCTTTGGGTCGAAGTTAAACCTGAGTTCGGAATCTCAGTTCTGCTAATTAGTGGGATGAACTTGGCCTGGTTATTATCTCTCTGAACCTTAGTTTCTGTATCTGTAAAAATTGGTTAATAAAACTTTACAGCCAGGGGTGCCCGGGTGGCTCAGTTGTTAAGTGTCTGCCTTCGGCTCAGGTCATGATCCCAGGGTCCTGGGATCGAGCCCCGCATCAGGCTCCCTGCTCCGCGGGAAGCCTGC